ATTCATAATGTAAAATCTGTTTTATACTTTTCAAAAATAATTATTTGGAAAAACTCACTGGATACCGTAATAGGCATTGTTAAAATAAATAATTATGTATGCATACTGTGCTTTTCTTTAATTTTTATAAAATTACGATACGATTTTCTGAGATCGATTCAATACAATACGATTAAATCGTGAATCGATTCACGAGGTTACGATCCATTACGATCCAGAAGATCGATTCAAAACAAAAAATCGTGCATCCCTACTCTAACATGAGCGGAAGCAGTAGAGTCTAAAGGCTCCAGTACACGTTGGTCGAGCGCGCTTGGCGAGCCCGCTCGGCAGATTTTTGTGGTGCCGTTCACACGTTGGCGTGCTTCATTCTGCGTTGGTAGCTAGATGATGATGGACGTTAGTGATCGCGGCCTTATTTTTATGTTCCTTATGTTTGGGGTTCCATATAACTAATTCATTGTGATAAGAATCAATGAACCTAAATATTTCCTCATTAGGCCATGTCGCCATGTTAGTGAAATAATTTTATTAGGCTGTAAAGCGTAACTATGAACTGAACACTCGGCCAACGTGTGATCGCTATTTGCGGCTTGCGCCAAATTTCTTTGATTTGTGCACGGAAAACCGACACTATACGGCTTGTCGGCGAGTGTTGGTCGCAAACGCCAAATACACACAAAACGGCATAGTACACTGTGTACTGCTACCTTAAGAAGTAAGTCTTGGAAGTTACTTGACATAGCGAAGGCCTTCGATGGGCTAAGCACAAAACGCTTCTTTAGAAGCTTCCCGAGAAATTTTGCAATTGGATCATCAGTTTTCTTGCAGATTGGACCATCAAGGTCGTAATAGCCGGTGCATACTCTGACTATGAGCCTATTAATGCTAGTGTTCTACAAGACTGCTTGCTATCACCTACGCTGTTTCTTCTGTATATAAATTAAATATGTTACTGTTACTTGTTGTAATACTAGTGATGCTTTTTATACCGGCCGTGCTAATATTTCTTCGGAACACGTCATCGAGTAGGTATCGGAACAAACTTGTGTTTGAAGTCGAGTATTTAATAAACAAAATCGCGCACTGGGAACGTCTCTAGTCCAGTTAAAACTTCAGAAGACACAGATTTGCGCATTACCGCTAAAATAAACTCCTTTGTCGTATATCCTCAATTTCAGGGCAGTCCACATGTTGTCTTAGATACATTAGAATCCTCGGAATCGACATATCGAATGACGTACAATTCCGCAGTCACATGGAAGGGATGGTTAAATTAGTGTCTAAAAAGCTGGGCGTGCTCAGCAGAGCGGGACAGTATTTCATGCCGATACACCGCTTCATACTTTACAAGGCCCAAGTTTGCCGTCACATGGAGTACTGTTCTACTCTCTGGTCCGGGGCACCCTAGTGCCAGCTTCCACTTGACCGCATCCAGCAAAGACTGACTCGAATTGTTGACGACCGAATCCTTTCTGATCGGCTCAATTCACTGGCGCTGCGAAGAGATGTTGCATCCCATTTCATTTATCGCATTTTTACTAGGTGTACTTAGACAAATTGTTTTGCAACATGCTTGTAGAATATGCAGTATTACTGACACTGCCTTATATCTGGCTACCTATTGTGGAAGGAAGAGTTCTACAAGCAAGTAGATGGTGTAGCGATGGACTCACCTGTATCTCCCATTGTCGCCGATATATTCATGGAAGACTGAGGAGAAAGCCCTGCTTACTTCTCCCGTGAATCCAAGATACTACAAGCGGTACGTAGACGACACTTCCTTAATATAATTCAACCTTTAGATAAAGTAACTGCATTTTTAGACCATCTTAACACCATAAATTCTAAAATTCAGTTAACAATGGAGTTAGAGGCAAACAATTCTTTAGCTTTTCTAGATGTGTTATTAGCATACTAAAATTCGGAATCCTGATAACACCTTGAGCCACACAGTGTATAGAAAAAAGACCCACACAGATAGATATTTAAACGGTGATTCTCATCACCATCCTTCATAGTTAGCTACCGTGGGTAAATCTTTGTTTCAGAGAGCATGGGGGATCTGTGACAGTAAACACCTGGCCGCCGAGCTCCAACACGTCAATCAAGTTTTGTACGACATCAAGCTTTGGGTCTCGCGCCTACGTCACAGTGAACGAGTGAAGCCGGCCACAGTCGAGCGAGTGCCTGCTGTACTGCCATATGTCAGAGGTGGCACTGACAAGATTGGCTACACCTTGAAGTGTGTTTCCAAAACATACTTCAAGCCGCCGAAGAAGATTAGTCAGTTTTTACCATCAGTCAAGTGTAATGTCCCTTTGCAAAATGCAGGAGTGTACAAGCTTAATTGTGAATTTGGTCTCTCTTATACAGAACAAACTAAAGGATCAACAAAAACCCGCATTAAAGAACACATAGCTGATGTGAAGAATAGACGCTCCGGGAAATCTGCAGTCTGCGAACACATACAGGATCGCCCCCGTCACTACATTAGATTTGATAGACCACAAATTCTCGCTAAAGCACACCGATTCCTTCAAAGGATGATTCGCAAGGCTATTGAAATAAAAAAAAAAACATCCTAATTTCAATAGAGAAGATGGCTGGGTGCTACCATCTGTTTGGGATCCTATAATTAATAAAATTACATTCCAACCCAAGCACACAACTGCAAGTCTTCAAGATACTGTAAGTATACTGCGTAGATCGGAACAAAAATTAATAATTTTAATCTGGAGGTAGCCGTGGTTAACTTGTGATATTGGGACGTTAAACACCTCAGTCCGCCCCCGTGACCATGGGTGCTGTAAAGTGTTCGCGACGCGCCCCGGCACAATATACCTACCTCGCTATAAAAATAACCTTAATAACAAAATCTAAATTAAAATTACACAGTTTAGGTCCTTACCCGGTGCGAATTAAAATTTATAATAAATTGCCAGAGTACCTAAAAGCCGAAAGAAATATCAAGAAATTCATAAGCACTTTAAAAATATACTTATTAAAAAAAGTTAATATTCAATTAATGAATACATTGAGGAAAATAATTTTTGAGTGTTCTTTCGAGGTGCATGTGATTGTTAGTACTTGCATGTTTTGTTTAGTCACTAAGTCTCATGTAACGCAATTTGTGAATAAATAAAAACGATATTGCATACAAACAGTGCATGATGATTATATGCTCGTAGTCAATTTTAACCATCGTTCTACGTCCAAAAACTGTATGGACAGCTCCAGATCTAGGCAGAGATATTTATAGGTGCTATGCTACAAACATAACTGCTCGCAGGTTTGGCCGATAGCGTCAAGACGTCAGGCGTCGATGGGAGGGTTAGAATAAATAGAAACTTCTAGTTTTCTATCAGCATTAACGATTGTAGAAAGTGGGATTGTAGACATTTCATTACCTGGTAGAGCCACGCTGCAGTTATATTATGGTTGTAAAACGAATCGGTCGGCTCGACCACCACAGCCACATAGCTAAATGCTGCTGTATTTCGTATGGTTGGTGTAGAGAGAAACGGAGATCCTTTTTACTGGACACGGCATTCCATCTTAGTCCTCAGGGGTGACAACGCATCTGCATATTGATTCTTAATCGAGGATAAATGTAGATGTGTATGGGCCACAGCACCCACTTACCATGAGGTGGACTGTGTGCTCGTTTATCACCCTTATGCTATAAAAAATTATAGAAAATTAATGTGATGAAATTAATAGAAAATAAATGTAAATAATTTCATTTCTTTTTTGAGTTTTCTATTGCGACAATAGGCAATTTGTCAAACCCCACAGAGCAGAAACGCCGGACGCGGTCGTCGGAAGTAGGAGGAGCGATCGTGGCGAACCTTATGCGCACAACTTATGAGCTAACACAGAGGAACCTACCCGCATTTATCGGAACTTTTATACAATAAAATCGATAGTACAATGGGAAGTAATACATGGTGGCATTCGTAACACACTAGATCCCAAAGTCAACAAATTGTGCTATTGTTAATATCATTGCCTTTGAATTCGTGATCCGCGACGTAATCATGTTATATGTCATTTAGAAAATTATACTAAAAAATAAAATGATACCAAAACTGTTCTGTTCTGTTACTCGTCCAGATGATAGAAGCACAAAAAACGATTATTATCACAACGCGTGAGTTAATTTTTTATGGTCGCTATCGGCAGGCGTGTGAGAATAGACAGAGGCAGTGAGCAAGCGAAAGACAAATAGAGGCGACGCCATTTATAATCCCATTCTTTATCAATGAGTTTATTCCACATGGGTTACTTTAAAAAAAACACATTAAAATATGATCTAAATTAAAATAAATAAAATTTTAAAATGTATTCAAAATACAATTGAGGTAAAAGAGTTGGACAAGATTTGTTTGCATATTCAAAAGTTTGCTTAAAAGTTTATACTTAATTTTAAAACAATAACAAAACAACACACGTAGAGATCCATCTGACAAGTTATAAAAATATACATACAATGACTAACATGATAGTAATATAATATAAAAAATGTTCTTCAGCTCTTTATTCTATTTATAACGAAATGACCATGTTACTTATCAAAGAAGCCGACATTTTTCGGTTATTTCTGATCACATGTAACAGCACTGGTAAGCGAAGTGTAGGGTGGCCCCCCACTAGATGGGGTGACAACCTGGTGAGAGATGCAGTAAGTCGATGGTTGCAGGTGGCTCAGGACCATGCTTTGCGTTTTGACTCTTCTTTGTCTCAATTTAGCGCTATAGATTATAGTTCATACAAGGCAGATTAACTTAGATAACACTAACGAGTGCAAATGCATTCACACATGTGTGTATATAGCTGTTTTCAATTGTTTTTTATATTAATTTTATAAAAGCTTCCAGGCTTAGGGTGTTCTAGGGTACTTCTTCACAGGGTCTAAAACGGCCTTGATTGAATTGGAATATTATGTACAATATGTTTAACCATTACATGCATAGTACTTCTACTCTATATATCAAAGATTATGATCCTCTTGTAGGACTTACTGCACCAATATGTACAGTTTCTCTGTGACTTTTTAATGATCCCCTTTGTGCAAAACTCCGTTCACAAAGGCTACATTGATACGGTTTTTCACCTGTATGAGTGCGTATGTGCTTCTCCAAGTCGCCCTTGGTTGCAAACTTTTTACTACATAGGTCTAGTGGGCAGACAATATTTTTATTGTGTAGTCGTACATGTAAATACAACTTTTTCCAAGTATCATAGGTCTTGGAGCATTCCTGCAAGTGAGAAAGAAGTTTACATAAATAAACAACAAAGTCAACAAATAGGAACAACACAATCAGATTCATTCTTTCATTACAGCCTATTTGATAGGTGTGTAACAACAATTTGGCACTGCTCATGAACATAGGCCTCCCCCATAGATTGCCTCATTGGTGGGATAAATGCCATAGTTACCACGCTAGATGTCGTCCACGGGATAATCCACGGGTTTGACGGCTCCGTAGCGCTGTGGCTTAGCAATATTTGAATAGCATACAACACAATACAATAGAAATAGAACAAGCATTTTAATAGCCTCCAAATAATTGTTCTAGGTCTGGATGTTTGCTCATGTGAAGGGAGAATGCCAGATCGTGCCCCACCTTGTACAAAAAAGGTAAAAAATGTGAAAAATAATCTTATGAATTTTGAAGCTTTTTGTTATAAATCGTTATTTTGTAAAACGTGCGGTAAAATATTATTTAAAAAAAAGAAAGGAATTCGACGATTAATATTTACATTTCCAGACTTTTCTAATAACATCTGCGTTTCTTTGTACGAATAAGTACATTCGTATTTCGTACGCATAAATTATCAAACAATACATACATATTTCTATTAATATCATTTTTCATCATTACAGCCCTTCACAAGTCCACTGCTGAACATAGGCCTCCCCCAAAGAATGCCACAAAGCACGGTCCCGAGCCACCTGCATCCATCGACCTCCTGCACGTCCCACCAGGTCGTCACTCCATCTCGTGGGGGGACGCCCTACACTTCGCCTACCGGTACGAGGCTGCCACTCGAGAACCTTTCTTCCCCATCGGTTGTCGGTTCTTCGAGCTATATGGCCGGCCCACTGCCACTTCAGCTTACTAATCCGTTGGGCTATGTCGGTTACTCTGGTTCTACTGCGGATATCCTCATTCCTAAGTTTATCACGCAGAGAAACTCCGAGCATAGCCCTCTCCATAGCTCGCTGAGCGACCTTGAGCTTCCTCATACGGCCAGCAGTGAAGGACCACGTCTCAGTTCCATAAGTCATCACTGGCAACACGCACTGGTTGTACAATTTCGTTTTCAGGTTTTGAGGTATGTCTGACGAGAAGATGTGTCGTAGCTTCCCGAACGCTGCCCAGCCGAGTTGAATCCGTCGATTGACCTCTCGGTCGAAGTTGGACTTACCTAGTCGGACTATTTGTCCCAGGTAAACATACTCGTCAACAACTTCGAGCTTAGTGCTCCCAACAACTACCGGCATAGGTGTGACATGGACATTGAACATGATCTTTGTTTTGTCCATGTTCATCTTAAGACCTATCCGTTGGGAAACACTATCGAGGTCATTGAGCATAGTGCTTAGGTCCTCCAGCGATTCTGCCATAAGGACTATATCGTCGGCAAATCGAAGGTGAGTGATGTACTCGCCATTGATGTTGATACCGTATCCTTTCCAGTCCAGAAGCTTGAAAACGTCTTCCAATGCAGCGGTGAAGAGTTTCGGGGATATGACGTCACCCTGTCTTACACCTCTCTGCAATTGGATAGGTTTCGTACTCTGGTTCTGTACTCGGACAGCCATCGTAGCCCTACTGTACAAGCACTTCAACACTTCGATATACCGACAGTCAACTTGGCACCGCTGAAGGGACTGCAGCACCGCCCAAATTTCGACGGAATCAAAGGCTTTCTCATAGTCCACATACGCCAGACATAGTGGCAAATTGTACTCTTCGGACTTCTGTACAATTTGCCGAAGGGTATGTATGTGGTCTATGGTGCTAAAGCCCTTTCGGAAACCGGCTTGTTCGGGAGGCTGGAAGTCGTCAAGTCTGCGCGCGAGACGATTCGTAATGACTCTCGATAACAGCACGTAGACGCGGCTCAGAAGGGAAATCGGTCTGTAGTTCTTCAAGAGAGCGTTGTCACCTTTCTTGAAGAACAAGACCACCGCACTTCTGCACCACGCCTCCGGTGTAATGCCACCATGGAGGACGGAATTAAAGAGCTTCTGAAGGACTTCAAGTACCGGTCTTCCACCCGCTTTCAGAAGCTCCGCTGTAATTCCATCCTCGCCTGGGGCCTTACCGTTTTTAAGGTGCTGGAGAGCCATTCTAATCTCGCTCAGACTGACGTCCGGGATATCTTCGGAATAGTGTCGGATGAGACTCGCTCTTGGATCGTTACTCACACTTGCGTGTGGCTCCAACGATGACGTGTACAGCTGCCCATAGAACCTCTCAATCTCACTCAAAATCTCAGATGTCCCGGAAACGATGCTGCCACATCCTGTCTTCAGCTTTGACAGGTGGCTCTTTCTGGCAGACAGATCTCTGGCAAAGACTTTGGAGCCTTGGTTCCGCTCGATCGCTTCTTCAATACGAGCTGTATTGAAGTTGCGTAAGTCCCGCCGCATGCATTTGGAGATCTGTCTGTTCAGATGCCTGTATGCTGTCAAGTCTGTTGAAGAATGTAGCTTCATCTCCCGTCTAACAGCCATGAGATTAAGAGTGTGATCGGAGAGTTTTTGTGTTCTTCTGCGGCGGGTCTTGCAGAACTTAGCTCCGATCGCATGGACAGTTTCCACGAGCTTGTCATTCATATCGTCCACTTCATTGCAGTCTTCTAGGCACTGAAAACGGTTTTGTAACTCGAGCTGAAAGGTTTCGGGACTTTGGAACAGAGCACGAGGGGGACGGAGCGTTGACTTCATTAGACGAGACCTCTCCAACTTAACGTTTAGGTTCAGTGTGCCTCTAACCATTCGGTAATCGCTACCAGTTTTCACCCTCGCGATCACGGAGACATCACTGAACAGTTGTCGTCTGGTCGTCATAATGAAGTCAATCTCATTTTTTGTCGAACCGTCGGGGCTCGACCAGGTCCACTTCCTGTGGGGCCGCTTCTGGAAGAAAGAGTTCATCATAAAGAGTCCCTCTTTCTCCATGAAGTCGGCCAGCTGCTGGCCCCTTGGGTTCCGTTGCCCTATTCCAAATTTCCCTACTTTCAGCTCACCGTTCTCTCTTGTGCCTAGTTTTGCATTAAAGTCTCCCATTAACACCGTATATTGGGTTTTGGAGGAATGCATGGCTCTAGAGATATCCTCATACATTTCCTCCACCTCCCCATCGGGGTGTGCCGAGGTTGGTGCGTAAACCTGTATGACCTTCAGCGAATACCGTTTGGTGATTCTGAGTATAAGGTACGCAACCCTCGTCGACACACTCCCGATCTTTACAACGTTGTTAACGAGAGACTTGTGGACGATAAATCCGACACCTCCTTGGGACAGATGGTCGCCCTCCCGGTGATAGAGCAAGTTGCCGGATTCGAGGATTACCGTGTCCTCCCCCTCTCTTCGGACTTCGGATAATCCTATAATATGCCAGCGCAACTTGTCTATCTCTTCTTCCAGCTCCACGATCTTCTCGTCAGTCCTCAGGGTGCGTGCGTTGTACGTTGCCCGGTCGAGTCGTCTAAGGTGGCAACCGAACCTCCACCGGAGATTCTTAGCACCCCCTGCCCCGCCGTTACCATGGTCGCCACCGTAGCCAGGAATAGCGGGGCCACCGGGGACTGGGGGCCGTCTCTTTGTTACATTCATAGGGGGGTATTTGCCATAGTTGCCACGCTTGGCGAGCGGGTTGGGAACCGCAGTTTTTTTATTGTAATTTTGGCTATTATCAGGAAAATGCTGCTGCCCATCTCCTGCCTGTTTCCCTTTGTCGCCTTTTACGACACCCACGGGAGGATATGGGGTAGTGGTATTCTTGACCGCCACTACACGGCGATATAATATTAATATAATATATTATAAATCTTTGTCACATAAAAATGTTACTTATAAATTTTTATTTTCAATTATTATTAGGTATAAGTCGATAATAATCATGAATTGCATTAGATAATTACTGAATATCAATCATTGATTTTCGTGCATTTTGTGAAATGATACACACACGTCATTGTGTCAATATCGTAAGTACGTATGTCAAATTAATGTCGAATATATTCACACATTAACTAATTTGTGCTTGTGAAATATATTGATTATATCACATTTTTGCTTGTGCTGATTCCCGCTTTCTTTAACGTTGCATTTTTTCCTGCTTTTGCTGACGACTTATGCTATTATTAATATACGGACTCGATCACGCCTACTGCTAATTACTACGGACATTCTGATAATTGCATCCACGATGTTGAGGTCAAGGAGGTTATATTATAATATAGGGAGTGAGCGCTTAGAACATTGTAATCGTTCCTCATTTTTCTTAGAAAGAGAGGCACCGAGTTTGGTATTTTATCCCCTTCTAACATTGATAAGTGTTTACACAAGATAAAAACATTACCAACATTTAGACAGTTATTGACTTAAAGTAATATTTTAGACGTATGCTAGAACGATAATCTTACATTTTTTTATCGCTAATGATAGTTGGTATATTCCATATTGTATTTTAATTAAGCTTATTATTAAGTAACACGAAAAAAAAAACCACTAAAACACTTTAATGTATGAAATTTATGACTCCAAATGTTTTAAACAATTAAATTCTAATGTAATTTTAAATGGAGAGAAACTGAGTCTTGTAAATACCACCATTTTTCTTGGAATCACACTAGACGCGAAGCTTCAATGGGGCCCCCATATATATAAATTAGCAAGCAGACTTAGCTCTGCAGCATATGCTGTGAAAAAGTTTAGAAGTCTTACCAGTGTTGAAACAGCTAGACTAGTTTACTTTAGCTATTTTCATAGCATAATATCGTATGGTATTTTTCTATTGGGACACGCAGCTGACACAAATTATATTTGTTTTACAGAAGAGGGCCATAAGAGAAATTTATGATTTAAAGCCTAAAGAGTCGCTGCGACAAAAATTTAAGGAAATTAATATATTAACTTTGGCCTCTCAATAAATTTATGAAAATGCAATGTACGTACACAAAAATAAAAGTAGTTTTACAAAAATAAGTGATATTCATTCTGTAAATACTAGAAACAAACACAAGCAAGTAGTACCAGTTACTCGACTCCATCGAGTCAGTAATTCATTCTTAGGGCGCTTTTACAACAAAATTCCAGAAAATATACAAAATTAGATTTGCTCAAAGTTCAAAAACTTTAATAAACTAAGTTTGTATAAAAAGGGTTATTATAATATTAAAGAATTTATGGATGATAATAACCCCTGGAAATGAGGTGATCGCTACCAAGCTATTTCTAATTTGGTGTGTTGTTAATTTATGTAACATACATGATTGTAAGCTGTTATTTAATAAAAAAGTCACGCTGGGTTTCGTGCTGGTTCTTCCCAGGGCAGAGGTTTTTTTTTAACCAGTGGTAATTAAACAAAAGAGTGACTTTCAATAAGTATTACCTATAAACTATATTGAATAAAAAAGTTTCTGTTTCTGTTACACGAATGTTCTTTCCCTAAAAAACTAGGAGGTGCATTTTACGCCATAGATGACAACATTATTTTAAAATTTGACGTTGTCAAATGAATGAATATATTGTTTTTTTTTAATATAGAATAGGGTGACAAACGAGCACACAGTCCACCGGATGGTAAGTGGTTGCTGTGGCCCATAGACATCTACATCTATCCTCTCGACCCAATTGTGCTACAACTATACTACTTATATAGCTGCAGCACGGCTCTATCACGTAGGAAACGCCTTGTGCTAATCATTCGCTAAATCTATGTGGAGTGCACTCACTTAGGGAGCGTTAATTCAAGTTTAACTTTTTTTCGGAACATTAGAAAGAGTTTACAGTTTCTTTTCATCATACACACGTCAATGGGAACTTTAATAAAAAGTGTAGGCGTATCCGTCAAAAGACTCTCAGAGACAAAATGAATTGCTCATCATGACGTTGTTAAACCACTGCAGAATAATTTTAAAAAACTAGTATAAACACTCGAAGATATATATGATCCCAGCACCAACAGAGAAAACGTCGATACAAAAGAAGCAGTATCTACACTCTTACCAGCTTTGTGTGACTTCAGTTTTTTATGCTATCTTTCCTTTTGGTGTAAAAACCTAATAGAAGTTAGTCAGACACAAAAGCAAATACTAAACAATATAATAATAATCTAGATTATCACTGGAAAAGTATGAGATAAAAATCAAAGCCCAAAAATTTTTCTTCAAAGTCAAAGTATTCAACTAGTGGAAAAAGCTATTCCCTACGTAACAAAAAATGTGAGAATGTGGAAATTTCGATTGAAGGAAAAAAGGAATGAGGAGATTTTGAAAACGTATTGGGCTATTCTGAATCTGTTCCGAATCTAACGCTGTGTCTAAGATTTGTTTTTACTATTAAGTTTCATGTGAAGGAAGCTTATCAAAATTCAATTTAATAAAATCTAACTTAAGATCCACAATAAGCCAAGCAGGACTAACCAATCTTTCCATTTTATCTATCGAAAATGACAAGAAAGTAAACATTGATAATATATTAGAATATTTTAGCAAAATAAAGTCCCGTTAGCATGTATAGTATTTTTGTTTTATTTTGGGGGGGTGCTTGATAGAAAACCGACCTGGGTGTCAACCCACGCTACGCCGCCACTAGTTACCGTAAGGTTTGATACTGTAGCGAAGCAATAATGTAATCAAAATATTAAACGGAGTTTAATTATAACACCATTCAGCACTTTCCATATTGAAAAAAATACGCATTTCGTTTTCCGTGATGCTGTATACACTAATAATATTCTCAAAATATTGTATCATCGACACTCTATTAGAAAGAAATGCAACGCCTAACTCGGTGCCTTTCATTCATTTCAAGGTTACGGATTTAGGAACGTTTCTCTAGTATGAAGTGCGCACTCCCTATATTTTACAATCTCCTTGGTTGAGGTGCACTAATTCTCATTATTGCGTCGATAGGGTGCAGGGGCTTTTTGTGTCCTCATTTCGATTTACAATCTTAATTATTCTTTCAACATGGATATCTTTGCAACAGATATATTTAGTTTTATAGCTTTTAAATATAGTTGATAATTCATGGTTGTCGTAAAATTAGTTACTAATCTGTAAATATTTATATCTTCTTCAGACACATGTCATAATAATATGTATCTTGAAAAATAATTTTGTAAATAATATAACTCGTTTACATGACTAGGACTTAGATTTTATGAAAAACAGGTGGTGCTAGTTTTATATTGTGTAAGAACCTTTTAGATCCTACACAAGAGAAATCTTTTTCTAATGTTACTGATCATTATATTATTATGCTCCTTAAATTCTTATTTATATATATCATTAGCGCCTGACAATTTATATTCTGAAATTACAATGAACTGCAATGAATGCTGTTCTAAAAAATAAGGTAAACGTTATTATTAAAGTCCAGTTTAAAAAATATCGCATGTTCTAGAGACTTCAAATTATATAATTTGGATTAAATAATAAAGTAGAGGAAAAATGTTGCATAAGGCATTCGTGTACACCACACTTTTGGATGGGACAAAGTCCTATAGAGAATCTGGCATTCTCCTTTATGTATGTAAACTGAATTACAAACGAACACAAGTCCAACTTTAAGGTAAGAAGATGCTGTGGAGTACAAACGTCTACATTATTTCTCAATTAGATCAAAGTGCAGGTAAATCATCACCCCTAAAAGCTAAGATGAAATGACTCCTTATCAGTCATTTTTATGATTAAAATTAATACTTGCAAATAAAGTCGCATTATTATTATTACTCGTTCCATGTAACTATTATGTACTCAGTGTATTAAGTATCACGTTTATTTTATGGTATGATCCTTGCAAGACTCGTTGCATATTGTGAAATTTATTTTCTTTGTAATAAATACCTACATATATGTGTATCTGCATTTAGTATTATATGTATTAACATTCTAAATTTGTCATGCCATTTTGGTAAGATAATTCTCAGTACCTAATTTGTATTTTAGTTATTTTACTTTCATCTGTTTATTACCACATCTCATGCAAATAAATCATTATCAGCATTATTATTATTATTATTATCATCAGTAAAAAGTGTTTGGTTTTCATCACATGCCATAAGGTACACAGTATGTAACGTTATGTTGTTATTTTACCCTGGTATTCTCTGTGAGTATATTATTTCTCCAGTTAAGATGACCCATTGATGCTGCAGTCATAAGGTAGCATGGCGCTACTACATATAAAATAAAATCGTAGTCAGTAATTAATGCAAGCTCCAACTTCTAACACAAGCGTTTTAAGCTTACTTGGAGTAGTTAATTATAATTTTAATAACGTTACTAGTTGACTGATCTTTATAATATAAAATATTACAGAATGTTTTTGTAAATAAGTAATAAAACTTACCCCACATTTATACTCAAGAACTTCTGTTTTCTCAAGCTTCATCCTTTTAATTCCATTGCTGTCTTGCACACTATTTGTGATGGTGTGCGAAACCTAAAACAGATTCTCTTTGATATGATTTCATATCAGCCTTGACCTTAACAGAGTTTGGTAGTTTACCTTTATTGTTAATCACTCAAATACTACTGTGTACTTACGTCATAGTTAAGGAGCAAAGATCTATATGTAATATGACACTAAAGTTTGAGTTGAGTTATAGCAAGACCGAGCAAGATATGAAAAATGTCCAGGGCGAGGGCTTTCCATGAATTTTACATTTTCACAGTATGTGGGTAACCTGAAATTGATCCCTACCAGCACCGAAATTGCGAATGTAATATTTTAAACACTGATTTTGTGGCCAACAATGAAAAAAATGTCTGCATGTCCTTTTTATTTTTATATTGCATAGGGTGACAAACAAGCACACAGTCCACCTGACGGTAAGTGGATACTGTGGCCCATAGACACCTACATTTATCCTCAATTAAGAAACAAAATGCAGATGCATTGTCACCCCTGAAGACTAAGAAAGAATGCCTCGTTTCAAGTAAAAAGGGTCTCTGGCTCTCTAAACTCGCCATATGAAACAGCAGCATTATGCTGGTATTTTATTTTATTCTGTGAGATGTTTATATTATGCTAGTATTCTGTGAGAGTGTGGTCCTACCCCGGTTGACCTGACCCATTCGTGCTACAACCATTATATAGGTACAGCGTGGCTTTACCACATTCAAAATAGTCTAATTTGGAGAATAAAATATTTGAAGTCTGCCAGCACACTTTGATTTGGGTATATTGGCACACCTTTTATGTCATATTGTATACAGATTGTTGCTCCTTAACTATGAGGTAACTACCTAGCCTTTATGTTCTTAGTAATATTTGAGTGACTATCTAACAGTTTACCTCAACAGGTAAACTGTTAGATACCTGTTAGATTTACCAACGTAAATAACTACTGGTAGTAAATGTACTTTTTTTTTATAGAAGAGGGGGCAAACGAGCATGCGGCTCACCTGATGGTAAGTGACTACCGCCGCCCACGAACAACCGCAACACCAGGGGAACCAGGGGAATTGCAAATGCGTTGCCGTCCTTTTAGAAAGGTGTAAGCTCTTTTCTTGAAGGTTCCTAAGTCGTATCGGTCCGGAAAATTCGCTGGTGGTAATTGATTCCACAAGGAAGTTGTGCGAGGGAGAAAACTTCTTCTAAATCGCACAGTGGTGGACCGCCAATCATCCAGATGGTATGGATGGTAACACGAGTTTTATCGCGATGAGCGATGGTGAAATTGAGCGGCTGGAATTAGTCCGAACAATTCCTCAGAGCACTCCCCGTGATAAATGCGATAAAATACGCAAAGAGATGCAACATCTCTACGCAGTGCCAGTGTATCGAGCCGATCAGAAAGAACTCGGTCGTTGACGATTCGAACCGCTCTGCGCTGGATGCCGTCAAGTGGAAGGAGCTGGCACTGGGGTGCCCCGGCCCAGAGATGAGAACAGTATTCCATGTGGGGCCGAACTTGCGCTTTGTAAAGTTGCAAGCGATGTGCAGGCATGAAATACTGTTTCGCTCTGCTGAGCACGCCAAGCTTTTTAGAGGCCAATTTGGCCTTCCCTTCCAAGTGACCACGAAACTGCACACTATTCGATATGTCGACGCCAAGGATTCCGATACTAGCTGAGGCAGCAAGGGGAGTACCTTGAAACTGAGGAGATACGACAAAGGGGTTCTTTTTAGCGGTAAACGCGCAAACTTGTGTCTTCTGGGGATTGAACTGGACTAGATTTAGTCGGCCTCGATCCGAGACTTTGTTAAGCAAAGACTCGACTTCAGACACATATAAGCCGGTATATAAGGCATCACCAGTGCTGTCGTCTACATAGCAATGAATGCTACCAGTTAGCAACATATGATTAATATGCAGGAGAAACAGCGTTGGTGATAGCACTCAGCCTTGTGAAACACCAGCGTTGATAGGCTTGAAATCAGAGCATGCACCGTCTAGTACGACCTTGATACTCCGATCAGTGAGGAAACTGGTGATCCATTTGCAAAATTTCTCGGGAAGCCCATAGGAAGGAAGCTTCGAAAGAAGCGCTTTGTGCCAGACCCGATCGAAGGCCTTCGCTATGTCCAAACTAACGGCCAATGCCTCCCCCTTGGACTCTACTGCCTCCGCCCATCTATGAGTCAGATAGACTAGAAGATCACCAGCTGATCGACCTCGACGAAAACCGTACTGGCGGTCACTAATCAGCTGGTGATCCTCAAGGTACCTCATGAGCTGGCAGTTTATAATGGATTCCATTATTTTAGAGAACAAGGAGGTGACGGCAATAGGGCTGTAGTTGGACGGGTCTGAGCGGTCGCCTTTTTTAGGGATCGGGTGGACCAAAGCTGTCTTCCATGAATTCGAGACTACGCCTTGGGAGTAGGAGTACCGGAAAAGACGCGTTAAAACCGGTGCCAACTCCGGAGCACACGTCTTCAGCACAATGGGAGGGACTCCATCGGGCCCACTCGACTTGCTGAGGTCCAGGGAGAAGAGTGCTTTGCGAACAGAGCGCTGTGTAAACCGCACATCCGGCATGGAGCACTCACATCGCGGGATGGTCAGCGGTGTGTTCCCCCCGTCATCTAGAGTCGAGTTGGACGCAAAAAGAGAGCTCAACAGATCGGCTTTCTCCTTTGCGGCATAGGCCAGTGTGTCGTCCTATCAGTGCAGAGATGGAAGAGATGGCCGACAGCAGTTACCTTGGACAGCCTTGGCGAGAGACCAGAATGCACGGGTTCCCGAAGGAAGGCGAACTAGCTTCTCGCCAATTCTGCCGATGTGCTCAGACAGAGGCACCACAGAGGATGGAATAAAAAGTTCCATACCCTGAAGTACCACATTAGCAGAATCGGCAACAATGCTGTGATCTTCCGGCGAGAAGCAAACCCGCCCCCAAGGGTAGGATGCAAAAAAAGAGCGCATCCCAAAATCAAAAAAGATCGTCCCAATCAGCTGACCTATAGTGCCAAACACGGCGGCAAGCTGCAGATCGCAACTGCGATTGGAGCGTGAGTGGCACCGTACTCCGAAACAGACAATGGTCCGAAGAGCCCAGAGGGGCATCGACGGAGACCTGATATCCGTCCGGATGAGAGGTCAGCAGAAGGTCCAACAGGGAAGCTACATGGTCTTCCACATCTGGGATCCGCGTAGGCGAAGTAACCAGTTATGTTAGACCATATGCCAAAGCAGTCATAGACAGATCTACCCACATGATCGGTTAAACGAGAACCAAGCCATTCAACGTGGTGGTCGTTAAAATCACCGAGTATCTCCGCGGATGGGACCTGTTGTAGCACGGAGTCTGCAGCCATTTGGACGTGGTCGATGAGTCGGTCTGTGTCGGCATTACCGCTATGTGACCTATAGAGGCACCCGTAGACGCGGGGATGGTCGTCGCTGTCTAAGCGCAGCCATAGGATGGACAGGTCCATACCTTCAAGACTGCCGAGGCGTCGAAAACAGATGTCCTCTCTGACGTATACGCAAACTCCAGCCCGGGGCACAAAGGAGTGTTCCAATTTGTACCCCGGGTAGGAGAGATATGAAGTATCAGCCGGAGAGGACACCTGAGTCTCGGTTAAAAAGAGCAAGGCCGGCTTCGCCGTCTCTAGATGGTAATGGACAGCGTTAAGGTTGGAATGAAGTCCCCTGATGTTGCAAAAATTCACGGATAGCGTGACAGGGGTCGCCTTGGTTGTATTGCTCCGCTTGCCCCGAGCAGCATTAGTCGCGAGCGGAATTTTGCCCCCCCCCCCCCCCCCAGAATACGCGGTGCAGCCTGAGCACCCACGCTCAGGAGTGAAGTAGTTTGGTCGTGGATGCTCAGCGAGGGATTCTCCAGGGGTGCTGGTACCCTCCTGGGATAGTCTTTTATTTAATTCCAGTACCATGTTGATGGGAGGGGGGGGATTGGGCTTCCGGCCACCTGCACTCACCAAGCGCAACGCAGAGGTAAATCTCTACTTCACGCTAGTATTCTGTGAGGTCGTGGTACCACCCCGGTTCGAGCTGGCCCATCTGTGCGACAGCAAAAGCTACCGCTTAGCTCTACCACTGTTAAGACTATACATTGGACAAAATGTTCCATATAAACATATCAGAAATGAGAGAATGCCTCTGTCCAGGAGTTGGATGGATAATAGGCTTCAACTTCATTATTACTTTTATCTGTTATACACATGATTGTAAATTAAAAATTATAATATACCTTTTCTGGACTTGGAAATAAATCTTTTCTTATTGATATTGTACTCGATCTTGTTGAGCCCTGAAATGATACAAACATCATCAGTAAAGATACCTAAACATAAAACCTTATAACTACAAAAATAGAATAATAGGATTAATATCATACAGATTCAGCTTCACGTGATTTTACATCCTCATTTGAATTTTTGATTATTTTTAGATTCTCACTTTGAAGGTCTTTAACGGAATGTGTGTTTTTGATTTGTGTAGTTGCATCTTTTATGTCTTTCAAATCTTCACCAATCTGAAATTATAATCATTAATTTCATAGCACACACTGAGCATATGTTTAACGCCATATGTAAACAGAGGGGTGATATATGTTTAACATTGTATCTGTATATCTGTGTGTCCGTCTGTGGCATTGTAGCAGGTTGGATTTAGAATCGTTTGGGACGAATTTGGCGGAGTAAGGTGTTTTATTTGGTAGAGATTTGGTCCCCGATTATAATAATACCACTCATATTAAAAGGTAATGCATCGTTATCAAAAAATAAATAAAAATTATTATAATCTAAAATGCGTAAAACATGGAAAAATTACTGTGAAAGCTGGATAGCATACAGAATTTTGTATAAGTGTGACAAGGACGTAAGACTAGTGTCACATTATTCTACTGTCTATACTCTCTGTCAAGAGACATTTTGCTAAAGACAACTATAATAATAGAGAAAATTTTACCAACTTGATATACGAATATTTATGAAGAAGAGAAATTATTACGAATAAAAAGAGATCCTTTTGAGAAATTAATAAAAAAAATATGTTTACAGACAATAAGAAATGATTATAATATACTGTTTTATTTCTGAATGGTTTAAAACTGCCCAGAAATACTTGAACACCCAGAAATAATTTCAGTTGTAATAGGTTAGAAGGTTGTGGCAGGAGCGAAGGCAACCTGATTTTATAGATAAGATATCTGATCTGATTGAATCTATACTAAAATTAAACCAGCACGCTCCGACTCCACGTAGTCTTGTCTGCCCTATTCCTAGAGTGTTTTTGTAAAGCCGTAGACGTGGAGGGAGAGCAGTCCCCGCCCGCCGTAGCAAATAGCAGGCACCTGTGCGAATCGTAGCGGCTGAGGCTGGTCGCCCAAGGCGACCAGTAAGCCAAAGCTGCGGAGGTGAGCATGGGAGCCTGTGATTTGCAACGCAAGGGCGAAGGGGCTGCACTTCCCACAGCGCCGAAGCTGTTGTAGAAGTAACTTTGGGTCAATATTCCTGTGTAAAAAAGTGAGGTTATGATTTTACAAAAAAAAAAAATTACTCATAAACTATACTTTTCTGCAACGAGGGAAAGATAGAGGGGCTTTCTCTGATAGGGCACACTCCTGCTACCCTCTTCCACCCCCCTGCCGGAGACCATAAATGTTACTTTCATGTTAAGTCTATAGGATTTTCTTTTTGATTTTTCTCAAGAACGGTGTATTACCTTTTAATAAGAGTGGTGTCGGGAGTAAGGGGACGCTCCCCCTTCCCCCCTCATGCCAAACGATTCTAAATTTCAATCATTGTAGCTCCCAAATGGATAAAACAATTTAGATTTAGTTTTTTTTTTGTTTGAAACGTAACTTGATGGAGTGTTCTTAACTATGGTTCAAGAAAATCTCTTCAGCTGTTTGAAGATCATAAGCTCTTTTCGTTTCGGGGTTTTTATATTTAATTTATGTAATATTATTAGTATACATTATTACAATAGCTTACCTCGTCGTCAGCAAATAAAGATTTAAGATGTGAATCATTTTTCATTGATATATCTCGAAAATCAATTGCCTTTTTAATAATATCGTAGCAATTGTAACAAATTCTCTCTGGCAGATTATCTGTAATGGATACCTGTATCATTCGCATTAAAATATGAATACGACAATTTTAAAATCATATAAATAATATATTTTATTGAAAAAAAGTACCTTTATACTAGTGCAAATAAAAATATCTCTCTGTAAGTGTGTTTCTTCATATATATTGTACAGTCCTGGTTCTTTTAGGCACAGTCTACATGAGTCAAAAAATAAGCAAATGTTTTTTTGCAAATCCATTTTAAAACGATTGAAAAAAAATGACACAAAATATTGTTAATTTCGTTAATTATTATCACAGAGTACTTGTGTTTATTATGAAAATTATGGGACCAACTGAACAAAAACAGAAAGGTCAAGATTCACGCACCACACAGCTGACAGCTGACTGACAGTTGTTTTTGTTTGTAATTTGTTGTTGTTGATACCATTCGCCAATTAAGGCAGGTAAAGTTGTTAAACCATACAACCTAATCAGATTTGTATTTTTATTCACAAAACTTTAATATGCTGTGGCGTCACATTGCGAAGTTCTTGGGAGATTTTAACGTCAACTTAATTCACATTTCACTTCAGGGCTCACTAAGTGGGGAAACGCCTACGCATTACAGACGCGGAGGATAGAGTGAGTGGTATCTCACTATACCAAAATTCCTCCTTTTCCGCGACTCCACCTCAGTTAGCCCCTCTCGCCGCAAAGTCCACTCGGAGTGGCCACCTCAGGGCGGTCCTTTACCTTGCGCCAGTCATTTGGTGTGGTGGTACTAAGCTCCCGCTTCCCTTATCTTTAAGAATTGTCCTGATGAATCTCTTCCATTTTCTACCGAGCAAACATCGTCTTCAGTCTTTTGCTCCTGCAAGTTAGCCTAGCTTTACAAGATATGTCGTAGCATTTGAAAAATTGCTTCCTGTTTTTTCAAGCTAATCTCTGCTTTACAGTGTTCGGTGCAGCTCTGAGCTGGGTGAACATTGCCCGGGGAGCGTCCAAAGACTGAACAGTTATTACTACTATACGCATAAAATCCGAGATAGGATGGAATACAGTTTTTAACAGTGGTAGAGCCACGCTACAGCTTCTGCTGTAGCATGTATGGGCTGGCTCGAAACGGGGCAGTACCACGACTTCACAGAATACCACCGTAAAGTAGAAGCTATGCTTTTGCGTTTCGCTTGGTTAGTGCAGGTGGCCGGAGGCCCCACCCCATAACATGGTAGCGGAATTTAAAAAGATAGGAACACCCCAGGAGGGTATCAGCACCCGTGGTAATGGAGAATCCCTCACTGAGCATTCACGGTCAAGCTACCTTCTACGTCCTGAGCGTGGGTGCTCAGGCTGCCCCGCGTATTGTGTGTGTGGGGGGGGGGGGAGGCAAAGTCCCGCTCTATGCTAACAATGCACGGTGCAAACAGAGCGACAAAACCATGGTGACCCCTGCCACGCTATCCGTGGACTTCTGCAACATCAGGGGACTTCACTCGAACCTTAACGCCGTCCACTACCATCTAGAGATGGCGAAGCCGGCCTTGCTCTTTTTAACCGAGACGCAGGTGTCCTCTCCGGCTGATACTTCGTACTTGTCCTACCCGGGGTACACATTAGAACACTTCTTTGTGTCCCGGGATGGAGTTTGCGTGTACGTCAGAAAGGATATCTGTTCTCGACGCCTCGGCAGTCTTGAAGGTACCATCTTATGGAGACAGCGACGACCATCCCCGCGTGTACGGGTGCGTCTATAGGTCCCATAGCGGTAATGCCGAAATAGACCGACTCATTAACCACGTCCAAATGGCTACAGATTTCTTGCTACAACAGATCCCATCCGTAGAGATCGTGATTAAATTAACGCCCACCACGCTGAATGGCTCGGTGCACGTTTAACCGATCATGCGCGTAGATCTGTTTATGACTTTGCCTTGGCATATGGTCTGACACAACTGGTTACTTCGCCTACGCGGATTCCAGATGTGGAGGATCACACACCTTCCCTGTTGGACCTTCTGCTGACTTCTCATCCGGACGGATATCAGGTTTCCGTCTATACATATACGGATATCAGGCTTTTCGGACCATTGTCTGATCCGGAGTATGGTTCCACTCACGCTCCCCTCGCGGTTGTGTTCTGCAGGTTGCCGCTGTGTTTGGCATTACAGGTCGGCGGATTGGGACGGAATGCGGTCTTTCTTTGCATCCTACCCATGGGGGCGGGTTTGCTTCTCGCTGGATGATCCCAGCGCTGTTGCTAACTCTGTCGACGATGTGGTGCTACAGGTAATGGAATTATTTATTCCATCATCTGTGGTACCCATTAGTGGCAGATCTCAGCCTTGTTTTGGTCGTTCCTGTACGACTGCATTACGCAGTAAGCAGGAGTGTTATCAGGCCTGGGCTGAGGCTTCGGCGGCTCGGGATGTAAATACCAGTATGCTTAAAAAGAAATATAACCTAGCCTCCAGGTCCTCCATAAGAGTTATTGCCAAGGCAAAGTCAGAGCACATAGGCAGAATTGGCGAGAAACTAGTTCACCTTCCTTCGGGAACCCGTGCATTCTGGTCTCTCGCCAAGGCTGTCCAAGGAAATTTCTCTAAGCTATCCCTACCATCTCTGCACAGGGAGGATGACTCACTAGCCTACGCCGCAAAAGAGAAAGCCGACCTTTTACGCTCCCTTTTTGCGTGCAACTCGACTCTTGATGACGGGGGAACACACCGCCGACCATCTTGCACTGTGAGTGCTCTATGCCTGATGTGCGATTCACACAGTGCTCAGTATGCAAAGCACTCCTTTCCCTGGACATCCACAAGTCGAGTGGGCCTGACGGAATCCCGCCTATTGTGCTAAGGACGTGCGCTCCAGAGTTGGCACGGTTCTAACCCATCTTTTTCGGTACTCCTACTCCCTAGGCGTTGTCCCGAATTCTTGGAAGACAGCTTTCGTGCACCCGATCCCTAAAAAAGGTAACCGCTGTGATCCGTCCAGTTACAGGCCTATCGCCATCACCTCCTTGTTCTCTAAAATAATGGAGTCCATTATTAACCGCCAGCTCATGCGGTACCTTGAGGAGCACCAGCTGAATAGTGACCGCCATTACGGTTTCCATCGGGGTCGCTCAGCTCGTGATCTTCTTGTTTACCTAACACATAGATGGGCACAGGTGATCGAGTCCAAGGGGGAGGCATTGGCCGTTAGTTTGGACATAGCGAAGGCCTTCGATCGGGTCTGGCACAAAGCGCTTCTTTCGAAGCTTCCTTTCTATGGGCTTCCCGAAAAATTATGCAATTAGATCACCAGTTTTCTGGCTAATCGGAGCATAAGGGTCTACGAGCAGAAAACGCCAGCAGCAGAAAATGACGGTGCATTCTCCGATTACAAGCCTATTAACGCTGGTGTTCCACAAGTCTGCGTGCTATCACCAATGCTGTTTTATCTGCATATCAGTGATATGTTGCAAACCGGTAACATACATTGCTATGCAGATGACAGCACGGGTGATGCTCTATACACCGGCCGTGCCAGTATTTCTCGGGAAAACGTCGCCGAGTACCGAAACAAACTTGTGTCTGAAGTCGAGACTTTGTTGAAAAAAGTCTCGGATTGGGGGCGACTAAATATAATCCAGCTCAATCACTAGAAGACACAAGTTTGCGCGGTTACCGCTAAAAAGATACCCTTTGTCGTATCTCCTCAGTTTCAAGGCACTCCCCTTGTTGTCTTAGACAGTATCGGAATCCTCGGCGTCGACATATCGAGCGACGTGCAGTTTCGTGGTCACTTGGAAGAGAAGGCCAAATTGGCCTCTAAAAAGCTTGGCGTGCTCATCAGAGCGGGACAGTAATTCATGCCGGTACACCGCCTGCAACTTTACAAGGCGCAGGTTCGGCCTCACATGGAATACTGTTCCCATTTCTGGGCAGGGGCTCCCCAGTGCCAGCTCCTTCCACTTGACCGCATCCAGCGCAGAGCGGGTCGAATCGTCGACGACCGAGTTCTTTCCGACCGTATTGACTCACTGGCACTGCGTAGAGATGTTGCATCTCTTTGCGTATTTTATCGCATTTACCATGGGGAGTACTCTGAGGAATTGTTCGGACTAATTCCAGCCGCTCAATTTCACCATCGTACATCGCGACAAAACTTTCGATACCATCTGTACCATCTGGATCATTGGTGGTCCACCACCGTGCGATTTAGAAGATGTTTTCTTCCTCGCATAACTTCCTTGTGGAATCGATTACCACCAGCGATTTTTCCGGACCGATACGACAAGAAAAGAGCTTACTGCTTTTTAAAAGGCCGGTAACGCATCTGCAATTCTCCTGGTGTTGCAGTTGTTCATGGGCGGCGGTAGTCACTTACCACTGAAAGTAACGCCTGATTCTATTAATTATAAAAAATAGTAATTGTCCAAAGGACGAGCATGCGGCTCACCTGAGTGAGCCGCATGCTCGTCCCCCCTCTCCCATAAAAAGAAAACAGTGTCGGCCACTCAGAGATAGTAGATTACAACCACACCCGAAAATCATTTATTCTATTTTTACAAAAATGTTGCCTCTGGTGGTATACATTTATGTTTTCGAACCAAGGACTCTCGGCTACTCATGACGTATTAATAATTATGTCCTTCGGACAATTACTATTTTTTTATAATTAATAGAATCAGGCGTTACTTTGCTGAAACCCGTTATATTAAAGTATAAAAAAATTACATCGCGTATATCCGCTCGATAAATCGAGGGGATATACGCGAGGTTACTTTTATCAACTTTAATTACTTTTTTTACAATAGATTTTTGAAAATTCACGATTGACTTTAATGTCAAGGATGTCATTTCTTGTCAAAATGTAACTACAAATTACATTGAATCTTTTCGAAAGCAGCAAATAAGTAATTGTAGCTATTTGATACATTTTTATATCAAACATACACAAATACTAGGTACTGAAGATAGAAGACTATGAGAGAGCCTTCAACGAAATAAAGCGGAGTGAGTACTAATATGACAAACAATATGTTAAATATAATAATATAAACCAGTAAATACATTCATTGAAGTCGAAAGATATTATATAATATAACTTGTAAATACATCGTCGGTACGATACGCGCGCCACCTACTGTAAGTTAATTGAACTATGCCTATAATCTTCGCGCAAATACCAGCAATAAGTGAAAGTTTTATCGCAATCAGATGAACGGTATGGCAGAGCATAAAGTACGAACAAACAAACATAAATTTTTATA